ATTGAACCTGTTCATTTGAATCAGGTGTGTTGCAACAGGGAGACTTGGAAAACATGCAGGACAGCGGCCCTCCAGGACCTGAGTTTGACACCCCTGATTTAGAGTGTTCAATCAGCCTGCCATGCATGTTTCTGAAATGTGGGCATTTTATTTCTTTATTTTTTTTTAATGGTGGAGACAAACTTTATTTGACATGAATTCCTGCAAGACATTTGTTCTCCCAGTTCAAACAACTTCAATGACAACCAGAACCACTGAACAGATTAATTAAGTTCAACTTTGGAAATTTATAGACCGGGTATTTTCTTTTTTTTTTTTTTTTTTTTTTCTTCTGGGTTTTCCCTACTCCCCCCTGATGTAACGATCACTAAGGACTGCCATGTGAATTAAAACTACACCACTTGGCTTCAGTGCGTAGCATTTCTGACTGAAAACACCTTAGTTTTGGGTCAAAATGTCAAAATTATGACACGTTTATGTGATATGTGCAAAGAAATGAGGATATTCAAACACAACTGTACCATCAAAGAGTTGTATTAAGTTTAGTTGTAATGAACCACTTATTTGACACTACAATTTAAGTTAAATTTTGCCAAAAGTGTGTGTGTGCTTCAAAGGTTTACCAGTGTCAATCATGGAACATGTGATGGTAACTATTGAACCAGAAATTGAAATTTTAACTCACAGCTGGCTGTTCAGTAAAATATTCATCCATTTTCAATACCACCTCTCCTCATTAGGGTTGCGGGCGAGCTGGAGCCGGCCCTCCAGGACCTGAGTTTGACACCCCTGATTTAGAGTGTTCAATCAGCCTGCCATGCATGTTTTTGAAATGTGGGTATTTTATTTATTTATTTATTTTTTAATGGTGAGACAAAGTTTATTTGACATGAATTCCTGCAAGACATTTGTTCTCCCAGTTCAAACAACTTCAATGACAACCAGAACCACTGAACAGATTAATTAAGTTCAACTTTGGAAATTTATAGACCGGGTATTTTCTTTCTTTTTTTTTTTTTTCCTCTGGGCTTTCACTAGTCCCCATGTGGAAAATCACCTTGTTAATCATACCTGTCCTGGGCCAACCAGAAGTAATTAAGACATCAGCAGCCTTGTTCGGAAGAGGAGAAACCAGATCATTTGGGAAACTTGCGTCCAAGCGGGCATTTATACTTTACACGACCTGTGCATTAAGTTGTGGTTTTGTAGTTTCCAGTTTCTCTCACGATAGGAACCTTAAAAACAGTTTAAAGCAATAATATGGAGTCATTTAAGCCCTTTCTCATCCTGCCCAATCCCCATCAAAAGAACCTTTGAATTGCTGGATTTTCCTGTGATATGAAGTGAAATACTTGAAACCAGAAATATGCTGTGAGCTGACCTGAAAATTAATAACTGCTTCAAAATAATCTTGGTCTCGGGCCGCCCGCTTGTTATATATTCCAAGAACAGCATCATGGCCATTGCCATGTTGACTTCTGATCGCCTACTTCCCAAGTTCATAGTCTACAAAATAACATAACGGTGAAGAATCAATACTTAAATTCCTCTTAAAAATGTGCAAAACAATTATACATTGTCATTGCTTTAAGTTTTTTCAGGCTTTGATTCCCAAAAGGGAATCTCACAGGCTATCCCTCATGAAAACTTTCACTGAAGCGACAAAGAAAAAAAAACCCAAACAACTTTTAGTTAAGTTAATTCCATGAACGATTCATGCAAAGCAATGTCCCAGAAAAACTGTTTTGATGTGTAACCCCAAGCAGGTCAAATCAGCGAATCTTCAGTCACTCAGCATGTGTGAAACATTCTTCTTTGGGTTCTGTCAACTGGCCTCAACATCAAGGAAAGTGGGTAAGCAGGGCAGCAGATGTGCTGTCTTTTCAAGTAAGGACTTCTTGGATTTTTTTATTTATTTTTGGCAGCACTATAGGAGGAAGTAACTGTTCCTTTCTGGACAAATGGACAACTTGTACAATTAGAAGGCACATACAGAAAAAAAACGACAGTGCTCGAGCGGTTAGCATGTCCCCCCTCACAGTACAGAGGTCCACGGCTCGAATCTGGGCTGCGGACTTCATATGTGGAGTTTGCATGCCACCCCCCTCCCTCCCCCCCTCCCCGTGCCTGCACGGCTTTCTGAAAACATGGTAGGTTTGACCAAAAATCTGAAATTGTCCCTTGCGTTCAGAGTGTACCCCGCCTACTGCCCGAAGATGGCTGGGATGTGCTCCGGCACGCCCGCGACCCCTCGTGAGGATAAGCGGCTCGGCTCACGGATGAATGGATATATGGATATATAACATGAGGTGTGCAAAGATCTTTTGTTCAGCCATGTCATGTTATTGCAAAATAATCACATATTCTTGAATTCGAATGAAATAACGATGACAGAACAGACGTGCTCGGGGGGTGGGGGGGGCACAGGAATTATAGATAGATGGTGACAATTGTGAATCGTCATTGGGTATATGGCAACAAATGACTCAGCTTTGTCCTACTTTTCAAGACGTATTCCACATTGCTGTGCTCGAGGCCAAAGAAAGGAAAGAGCGAGCTAGCCAGGGACATTAAAGAAAGTGTCTCCAAATCCAGACACGGTGCAAGAATAATG